TTACAGGTGATCATGTATTGTGTTACATTATATTTCTGGAAAATTTAAGGGGTAGTTATATAATAATTTTGGACGATTTTGGGTGGTCAGATACTTATGACCGCTACTGTAATTTATTTGAATAAACTAAGCTAGTTGCTTAGGTAAATCATATCAAGAAGGGATACTATATTTATCATGTAAAAAAAACCTATGATCTGTCTTTGGGTTTAACAGGATTAAGCTCTTTGGAAACAACTGGTCTAAGAAGCAAACAAAAGATTGGAAAATAAGCAAAGAAATAAAAGTAGTATATGATGATCTATATTGCCTAAGTGATCCAGATGACCCATCATCAGATACATATGTCACGTTGATCATCAAGTCTGCTTTTGCATCTGATAAGGAACTAACACGAGAAAATGCTGTTTAGACTCAATTAGTGCTTGAAACAATTTTTGATGTTGAATATCTTTTAATGAAAATTAATACTGAGGTGATTGAGTTGTGAAAAGATGTTATTGAACATAATAAACAGGTAACATTATAAACATTTATTACTTCATAAACTTTATTTCTTATAATATTATTAAATACTTTACCTTTAATTAGGATGATGAGGATGAGCAGTACAAGAAGGAAAAAGAAGTACAAGATAGCCTGCAACATAGTGAATATGCTTCTACTGATAAAGAGTTATACAATCTTTATCAAAGCCTAGAAAATGATGTAAATTTTATGGATTAAATGTGTTTTACGCCTTTAATTATAAATTAACTAATTTATTTTATAATGTATTGAAATACATATGCATTTTAGTGTAGAAATTTATAATAAAAATTATCATAAATTATAGTGATTACTATTGTATTTTCGCATCAAGCAATGCAATAATCAACACTATTATACTCATTTTTCAACACAGTCGTGTGATACCATTATTTCACTATATATTATTTACATTTAGCATATATTAATTAATGCCCTTTTAAATGGTATTGATTGACATAGAATTCATATATCAATACTTTTTGGTATTGATTAATACATAGCGTATATTGACACATTATATACCTGTTTGAAACTTCCTGATGTAAAAAGTAGATATAAAGCTAGATCCTATTTTATTAAGTGTGAATAGCACGAAATTGAGATAGTTATATAATCTTATTACTTTACGATAGTCTGAGTAACTCTTTGTAGTGTTAATTTATTTGAGAATTTTAATCTTTTTTTCAAACAAATAGGTCTATACGAGAAAAAAGAATTTAAATTGATTTGTGATTATATAAAATAATAACATGATTAAGTCTGATAAAATATTAACTCCTGAATATCTGGATTGGTATGCCAAATTAATTGGATTACTAAGTGTTTTGACAGATAGAATTCAGACCAGCTTATACAAAAAATATAAAAAAGAAACTGGGTATAAGCTATGGTAATTATCAGAAGCACATATATCAAAAACCAGCTTTCTCATAAATTCGAAGCCAGAAAATAAAGCATCATATTTATCTTTTCCTGAGCAATGTGAAGAAAATAGGCCTATCACTTTCAAAGCCAAACCTAATCTAGAATTAATTATCAAGTCTGTCTTAGAACATTTACATACCTGAAATTCTGAAATAGTTTCAGAGAGATTGATAATTATAATTTTGTATCACCTTAACTGTAGAGCTCACTATATCCTATTTGCAATGGAAAATATGAGAATTATGGATTATATGACAAATGGTATAAAACAGAATATTGTCTTACTTGTTTCACTTCAAGCAATAAACTCAAGTTCACAATTGTGGCTTAGATTACTCTTAGACTAGTTATATGAAATTGATCACCTGAAATGTGTAGTAGTATAATATCTTTTTTTTCACAATATGTCATTAGCTTATGTGAATTATATCTGCAGAATATTCTATACACAGTAGTACATCACTGGTATTTGCAGTCATAAGATCTACCAACTGAGAGTAATATTTTATATTGCTATAGTAATGAACTTTCCCCAAAGTTCTGGTATATTCTATCTCACTTATTACATAGTTTTGAATTACTAATAAAAAATCATATCCCTGATTTATATTTTGCAGATTGTAAGACAGGACGTTGTTAAAAAAAAATTCAAAAATAAAAATAGAGTGATTAGAATCTATGATTGCAGATTTTCAGATAAATACTGTTATTATTCTAGTTTTATTAGCGCAATCAATTACGTGTATAGCTAATCACATACTAATTAGTTTTTGAAAACTCTTTATTCTGAATTTTTTGCAGAATTATAAATGGTATGTAATTTTTTCATCTAATTTAATCAGGTTAAATTCTTATTTCAACGCGCAGTAAGGCATTTTGCTAATTGTGTTATTAGAATAAAATGAAAATAGATATATTACTATTATGATTTTTTAGCAGTTTTATCAGTCCACAAATAAGCAGTATACTATATTTAAAAAAAGCTAGAGCATTATTATAAATCATTCACATAATCAAGAATATAGATTACAGTTAACACATATATCTCCTTTTTTTTCTTATTTTACTTATTGATAATCGGAAGATTTGCGCCAATGATCCTGATAATTTTATTCTTAGGATGATTAATTTTTCGCAAAAATAATTATGCAGATCTATATGATATTTTTTATAAATACCCTGCCTATTTTTTCCTTTCATAATTTGATCCTTATTAAAGGGAATATTCATTATGAAACAACTTTAAATCAAACTGCATCACAAATGAATAGAACTTCTGCCTTCTTATATATTTGAAGTAAGAAAAAAAAATATCAAATTTTTCTTGTGACTAGCATCTCATACAGATATTTAGTTCTTCCTTCAGTTTGGTCATTCTTTAGACAAAAATGAAATAAAAAAATAGTATTTTATAATATAAGTTATTCATATATTATACATACATGATCCCAAAGGGATCCTAATGAATATTTCAGTAAATTTTTATTAATAAAAAACTTTTCTCTTGCATAAGACTTCACGATCAAGCATTTACAAAAAAAAATATTATTATTTTCATTGCTTGAATATGTTGTAAGAATATGGAGATATGAAAATGCACTAATTTTTTTCATCTTTAAGTACAGACGTCAAGATACGAGATATTTTCACGAATTATCTTCAGCACAGCTTGATATTTCTGAGTCACGTATATAGGGAATATGTTTTAATGCCATCCACTAATGAAGTAAAGAACTATACATTTTTGTACTTTTTTCAATTCAGCATAAAGATCTTTAAAAACAACAATAGTGCTTCTTTTTGAGAAGAATTTGCTTATATCTGAAATCTTTTCCGCCCTTATTATTTGAAATATAATATTCTCTTAATATGATACAGGACTATTTGCAAAATGTGAACAGCATTTTTTACTAGTTTTCATTTAGGTTCAGCATACTTTCCAACTAAAATGAGATCATCATTTGTAATATATCTATCCCTCTTCTACCTTTAAACATACATTGGAGTTTGTTGCCTAGAATAAGATTAATAATCATATTAGTTTTTTTACTATGTAAACCTTCAGTAACTAAAAAGTGAAAGGCCAATCTGGATTATATTTATTACCCTTCATTCGTTCCAAAGATTTTTTAGGGATCTCGTCAACGTTATACACAAAAAATTCCATATAGTATAATATACAAAGTACATCAAAATAAGAAATTTCAGCAAATTTATTTGCCTAATCATGTGAACTTTCAAAGGTTGGGCTTCACTTCATCCAAAAATCCTTTCTCAATTAATGTATGTCTAATGAATAGATATAAGTCTGCAGTATAAAACACTTTGATAAGGCATATACCTTGCTCTTTGCAAATATTCTGCTTCTTCTGATCATGCATTTTCTGTTCATTTAAGTCTATTTGAAAGTGTTGCTTATCCTAAAACTCGAATACAAGATGCAATTTCTCATTATATCTATCAAGTTGCATTTCATCCAAAAAATTAGGCCTGTGTGATGAAAATTTCTTTCTTAGCAGATCTTCAAAAATATATTGACACTTGCATTTACTACTTGTATAATGGCATAGAGGACACCATTCAAATTTTTTTATGATATATTTTAACAGATACTCCCATTGATGTACATCATTCTCATAAGACCAAAGATATATACTATGATCATTTATTCATCCAGTCCTTTCTAAATATTATCCACCATGTCTTTTGGTATAATTAATGGCTTGATTTAGTTCCCTTTGGGAACTATAGGTAATGCACAGATAATATACTTTGGGGCGGATACCTAACTTTTTCTAGATTAGTTATTAACATGAGTTTTTCTTGCATAAACTTCCACTTTAATGTAAATTTATTACCTTCGAAATAATATAAAGCTGATTCATTCTTTATGATAATCACTTTTCAGATTTTATAAAGACTTAGACTAAAGGTGAGATCAGTTGCCTGCCTTTGATTTTCTATACCTTTTTCCCATTTTGCATTAGCAAATAAATAGCGGATAATATCACCTTTCTTTAATGTTATTTCATCCTTTTCAACTAGATGCTTATATTTTGTAGATGGTCTAGATTTGATTTGTTCTAAAACAATTGCTTTCTTAGGTTCAAGTTCTCATTTTCTGATTCTAATTCTTAAATAAAATTTGTAAAATAGTTATTTAAATAATTAATAACTACTGATAGAAATCTAACCTATGTTCTTATTAATTTAAGATTAGAAAATATTAATTCAATAATATACTGGATCTTGTATAGAATCTTCAAGAGTGCTTAATTGAAATGCTTCACAAATGCAAGATCTCGATGGGAATATAGACTAATCATTCAAATTGTAACATTATACTCTTGTATTAGTTAGGAAGTTTTACCTATAAATTCACGTCTCCCATCGTATTGTAAAAGCTTTAGCCATAATAATAGATTATTTCGATCACTATATATTTTTCTAAATGCTTTAACAACTTCTGAACTATTCTTAGATATGAGCAGAACTGAAGCCTTATATCTGAAAACACAGTCTATAACATTGAGTACTGCTTTATATTTTTTACCTTTATAGTGATCATAAGTAAGAAATAGTATATCATACTGGTATACACAATTAGGGTATGTTATTCATCTGTAACTGGCTCTAGAAATATATTTTGAAGAGGTTTTATTAATTTGGTATGACTTCTAATTTTCTAAAAAAATTTTGCATTCACTTAGGTAGAATAGATGCTCTCTTTCTTACACGTATCTCTCAACAATTTAGGATTAAAATAATATCCATTGGATGATAATATATATCATGTAACATGATATTTTTTTTAATTCTCCAAGCCTCATCAGAGTCTATCAAAATTTGCGGTTGGCTCATTCTCAAGGTAGGATTATTATAATAGTATTATAAATTAGGATGAAACATCATGTTTGATCCAGCATATTCACAGCTTTTAGATATAAATCAGGAGCTTTGTAGTGAACTTTAAGATAAGATTTTTATTAATAAGAATAATGAAAAAAAAATTCGCTTTCTTGTGAAGGAGCTTGAGCAATGATCTCATTACAGGATAATACTATTATAGCTTATGAAAAAGAGGTAGAGAAACTTAAATCAGAAATATCTGATTTGTGAAAACAGCTTAAGGTTTTACAACAAGATAAAAAATTCAAAGATGAGGTTAGGTCTATTCAAGATGGCTGAATCATAAAGCTTGAAAATAAGGTTAAGAATCTTAAAATAAGAATTCAGATTCTCATAGATAAAAAAATCTCAATAAATGCTTTAGATATGGCAACGACTAATCTAATTGCAAATATTAATATAGAATTAGATCGAATTAAAAATCACATTAAGGGAGTTGGTACACCTATGCAAAATTCTGCTAATATTATAGATAGTATCAAGGCTTATTAAATACTATTCGGGTTATTTTGTAAAATATTACAACTGAGCGTGATCAATATCAGAAATTATTACATGATTCAATTCAGTAAGTAGATAATCTTAGGAATCAGTTTACTGATAGTGGAAATTAGAATTTACAGTTACAACATTTATTAGATGAATCCTGAGTTTGGGTTATAAGAACTGTGAGAGAAAGAGACAATGCTCAAGGAGAGTAGAACTTAGCTATGTTGGTCTATAATAATAAGAGACAAGAATCCTATCGCTAGATATTTTTATATTAGTATAAAGATAGGTGTATTCAAGAATTATTGTGAGAAAAATTTGCTAAATAGCTATTGTATCAGCGAGATACTAACTATCTTCAGCAAAATACCTGACAGTTGCAGACCAATGCCTTAAACTAGATAAATAGGATGTTAGTTATTATAGCAAGAAAACAAACCTGCATTGGTGAATTGCTACGTGAGAAGTTTGTTTTTTAGCTAGTGATTAGGCAAAGAGACCAGAATATTTTAAATTTGCAAAAACAAATTTTGGCATTTCAGAATAACCTACCTAATATATAATATATAGGTATAGCAGGATATCCATCAATAAGGTATTCAGGTAGAGGTGATGAGGACTTAGATGAGTATATTAAAATTATTATCTATATTTAACAGCTGCCAGAATTATCACGAATAATGCGTAAGGTAAACAAAGGATTTTAGCATTATGGCAATCAATCTTAATAGGTAATGCTTCCCAATGGCATAAAACTAAAATTGCTGAAAAAATGTTTTAGCTAAATCATATCGCTGTTAGCAATAATTTAGCTAACATAGCTGCCGTTTGTGTCTTAAATAATAATCAAATAACAGCTCTTCAAATAAATGCTCCTGATAGAACAGTTACACTAGTATTACTAGCTGGAGCTACTAGAGCTCTTGTTATTCTAGCACATAATGTATATACAGATGAATAGAGTTCCGGATAAGTCAAGTTAACTCACAAATCAGATAAGCAGAGTCGAGTTTAAATCAAGTTGAGTTTATGTTTTTTTGACTTGATGATTTGCGAGTCAAACCAAATTCAAGTCGAGTTAAATATTTAACTCAACTCGATTTAAACTCAACTTGATTCGAGTTGACTCGAGTTGACTTGAACGATAAAAAAAATCGTTCAACTTGAACGATAAAAAAATCGTTCAAGAAGAATGATAACAAATCGTTTGACTTGAACGATAAAAAAATCATTCAAGAAGAACGATAACTAATCGTTCAACTTGAACGATAAAAAAATTCGTCAAGAAAAATGATTTGTCATCATTTAACTTGAATGATAAAAAAATCATTTAAGAAGAACGATGATGAATCATTCGCTCCCCTCCCTTTCCCGATCTTTTCTCAAAATCGAATCGAGTTAAAATTGAGTTGAGTTAAATTGAGTCAAGTTTAAAATTTATATAACTCAAATCAAATCAAATTGAAAGATTTTATAAAATAAATTTGA